TAGGGAAAGAAACTTCTGTCAAGTGGGCTGCATAGATTTCTCTCCCAAGAAGGAGAAGGCCAGTTTCTCAGCAGGTGGCCAGAGCACCACGGGTGGCTTCTGACCTCTTTGAAGGAGCAGAAAGGTCCTCCTTTGAAGGACACCATGTGAGCTGACCTGGCCTGAATTTTAGCCACGTCCTGTGTTTTCTCGAGAGGCCTTGTGGAGAACAAGAGATGACCATGAGACCCTCCATTACCACCCTGGCAGGAGTGTACTGCTGCAGCTCTGGGAGCCAGGAGGACCCCAGCCTGCTGCGAGCAGCCGAGAGCAGCTAATTTACCCGTTCAGTCTCTCTGAATTTGCTGGGGAGCTAACAAACCTCAAAAAGAAGAATTAAAAATGAATTCATTAAGAATAAAATTTTTGCTCTTGTTCAGCAAGAATCAGGATGTATAGAGCATGCTACATGGCAAATCATACTACTGATGTTGACTAATTAAACTCACCGTTTTAATATAATACTCATAAAATTTCACAGTAATTCTGTTGTTGCTTTTTGGCTGCATTTCATAAGGAGGAAAGAGGCTTGGTTTGCCCAAGACCAGAGTTCAGGGTTTTTTTTCAAAATTGAAAAACTACTCTTAACCATAAGGTGTCACTATAGCTCAATGCACAATTATTTGTTGACACCCATATGCAGAAAACCCCATTTTCTGTTTCCATTCAGATGAACAAACTCACCTTAAGTGTAATATCCAGTGTACATTAAAGTTTTTTACTAGTTCATCCCAAATTTTTCAAGAATAATGACTTGCCTAAAATTATGTACTAAGCCAACTCACTTCCCATTTCTTTTGCCTTCCAGCGAGGAAATAATTGGGGAACCAGAGAATATAAGAAAAGAGCTTTGGGATCCCCACAGCCTGGACTTTGTGAAGACCCCCGGAGGCAGTGTGGTGACGGTCTTCTGTACTGACAGCTCTGGCATCCTGCAGAGCCTTTACAGGTATAGGACACATGAGAAACTTTACAAACCAATTTTTTGAAACAAGGGTATCAAGTAACTACCGCAGTCACTCTTCACTGACAGCAGTGTGAACATCCCTGTAAGGGAGAACATTTACCTGCTCTACATCATGACTGCTGAATCACCAGCTGTTTCCCAGATTACCCAACACTTTCTCGGAAGTTATTAATTTAATATCGTATTGTACAGAAGTGACATTGACTTGAATTCACAAAAGGAAGATCTTACCTGAGAGTTAATGATCCGCATGGTTGTTTTATTTCCAACATCTTTTTCATAGCCACGTGTTGGAGCAGAATTAAATCTTAGAACGGCATCATGGGAATCTAGGGGCATAAATGAGGAGGTAAACTGTTTTTCTTAGTAATATAGAACAGTAAAATAAAACAAATGATCTCAACTAATGTAAAACTTACACATTTCTCCGAATCTTGATATTCTAAGGATAATAAACATTCTGCTGTGCACAAACAAAAAGTCCTCTTGCATCTGCCATTTGTTATTAACATTATTAAAATCCACCGGAAAAAAGTTCAGCATCATCTATTCATTTAGCTTGCAATACTTAAATATTTCTCTTAATTGGATAAACTTAGTGTGGGAAGGTTATTAGTACACCCAGTGCACACAATTGCTTGCTATTTCTATTGCAAAATTTAAAAAGAATTACCCCATGCAAAAGCATGTTAATTGCAAGAATATCTAATTGCACATTCGAATGAATAACAATGCTTAACTATAAGCTTGTGCTTCACAGTATTTTATAATACCTGAAAATCTCAGACTTTGCCAAACCTATTAGTCATACTGTGTACTTATTCTCAAGGTCAGTACGAGTCTTAAAGAGTCTCTGTAGGGAAGACAGTTCACACATAGAAACCTGAGGAACTCTTGGTAGCAAAGATCTAACAGAGCTGAACTGTCAAAGTTTCCCCATGAGCTGTTGACCTTGGAGTCATGCAGAATAGAAAGCAGCTACAGGTCAAGTATGGGTCAAGGGCAGACACTACGTGCAAGCTTCTGCTGGATAAAAGATAATCACCCTCCCAGTGCTTCTTTTAAGGGGATTTCAAAGCCCAAAAGGTGCAAGTGAGAGTAAAACATTATATTCAGTGTCCAGAAACAGAGTCTGTCAATAGCGCCCTATTTGGTATACTTTTGTCCCTTCTATTGACGGAAGCAGAGAATATGATCAGGCCAAAAAGGGCATCTAAGGCCTTAACCCACAGGTAGTTTATACAGCTATTTATCTCTAGTCACTTAAAATGTGGTTGTCTGTAGCTCAAAGATGGAGGAGGCAGAAGTTCCCAAAGATAAACAAGATGCTTCAATGGAGTTCAGGCCTAATCCTATCAAACTGGGATCTTCTGCCGTTGGACACTTTTACTCCACACTTGTACTCAAGACAAGAAAATGTTGTGTGACATGAAGCTGGCACTTCAATCTCAGCCATACTTGCTTGCTTTAACACGTGTCTGAAAAGACAGATTTTTGCCAAATGTCTACTGAGCCTAACTCCTCAGAAGCTAAGAAGGAGTGAAGGCTTCTTCTGTGTCCCTATGCAGGGACAACCCTAGCCTCAACACCTAGCCTTCCTCTGCCTAAAACATAAGCATCTTGATTGCGTAGGAGCTAGAGGACATGAAGTCGAGAGAAGCTGCAGGTACTCCACATTTTTGGAGAAGGAAAAGAAAAACAAAGGTCCTTTATACTTGAAACCTGGTTATGAATTTAAGAACATAAATTTGGACCTGCACTTGACAACATTTTGACAATCTGTTGACTGAGAACTGGGAATCGGGTTGGGAAATGGGAATTTTATGGTTCTTAACTTGAGAGACACTGTGCTGCATTTCCAACGTTGTTCATGCTGGTTCTTCATAACGAGAGTAAACACCTTTCCTTCACCATAAAATATATGATCAGAACACAGACTAACACTGATAACAGCTGTTTTTAAGTCCACTGATTTTAATCTTATTAAGTATTTGGACATAACAATTTCAAAGATACACAAAGTTTGGGTTTTGATCATAGATCCCTTCCTGATGATGCCAAAATAATTGGGTGTCCCATTAAACAGCATGATCACGATGGGAGCGTTTGCTGCACTTGCACAGTATTTCCATACCTAGTTTCATTCAAAAACAATCGGAGTAGTGGGAGGGAGGAGGGCAAAAGGCAGAACACAAATTAACATTTCTGTCTGCGTTTCTAATAGGAGCACAGAAGAGGGAGCTAAAGGCCTGTGAAGAGAAAGGTCCTCTGCTGTTGCTCTCTTAAGCCTTTTTTTTCTTTTGGGAGGATAAATAGTAAAAGCCTTTTGCCTGCAGCAACTTCATCAACTGAGGCCGTACAGCCCATTGCCCAAAATCCAGAACTCATGCATGGGGTGTTTTTCCCCAGTCCCCAATGATGCTGACTTTCACAGAATCACAGAATGGTCAGGGTTGGAAGGGACCTCTGGAGATCATCTAGTCCAACCCCCCTGCCAGAGCAGGGTCACCTACAGCACGTTACACAGGACAGCGTCCAGGCGGGTTTTGAATGTCTCCAGAGTGGGAGACTCCACCACCTCTCTGGGCAGCCTGTGCCAGTGCTCCACTACCCTCAAAGTAAAGAAGTTCCTTCTCATGTTAAGATGGAACTTCCTATGTTCAAGTTTATGCCCATTACCCCTCGTCCTATCACTGGGCGCCACTGAAAAAAGACTGCTCCCATCCCCCTGGCATCCTCCCATTAAGTATTTGTAAGTATTAATAAGATCCCCCCTCAATCTTCTTTTCTCTAGACTACAGAGACCCAAGTCCCTAAGCCTTTCTCCATAGGAGAGATGTTCCAATCCCCTAATCATCTTCGTTGCCCTTTGCTGGACCCTCTCCAGCAGTTCCCTGTCCTTCTTGAACTGGGGAGCCCAGAACTGGATGCAGTACTCCAGATGCAGCCTCACCAGGGCAGGGAGGATTTTTTTTGCCATGCCTCAGTGGATACGGAGGAGCTCAACACAGGTGCCAGGCTGCCTCCATAGGGCAGCACCACCCTCCGCCCAAGGGGCCTCCAAACTGGCAGGTTTGCTTGCGTTTTCAACCAAGAGCTGGTAGACCTGGTGCCAGCTTTGGGAGAGGACAGTCTTCTCCTAGAGCTGTGCACGCACAGGGAAAAAGAGCATCTTGAACAGGTTGATCTTTCTCTTCCCGGTCGGACTCTTCTCTCTCTTACCAAAGACTAGAAGGGAGGTGGAAAGGTACGGCCAAGAGCTCAGCTGTAACACATACTGGCTGGACTCTGCAGGGGAAACAAAACTTCTTCCCCATGGGAATAAAAATATAAACAGTGGGAAACACTGCCATGATGTCTCTGGTATATCAGCACTTCCCAAGAGCTGCACTGTCCACTAAGACCCATAGGTTTGCACCAGGCCCTTCTGGGATGGCTGGAAGCAGTCAGTTGGCCGACTACATTTCTGGGCCAAATTCTCTGCTCACTCACAACTACCTGATCATGGCCTGGAAGACACTTAGAAAAAAATCTTCTATGACTGCTGCTGCCCCACATACTTTCCTGTACAGCAGGTAGGAAGAGATCCAAAACTTCAGTGCAGGACTGACCAAAGAGCACCTCCTCCCTTTAGGCAGCATCAGATGACAATTTCCTAATTAAATCAAAAACTCTTCCTCAGAGAATAACATGAGCTTTCTGTGCCCAGAGTGTTCCTGAGAGAATGGGTACATACAGGAACATCTGGGCCCCGGGTACCATGTCAAGCACCGAAGTCCACACCTGGGCTGCACCTAAGTGTGCAAATATACCATGATGCACACTGTAATATATAAACATATAAGTATGTCACAGTGTGCTATGGATTCTCCAGTACAGCACTGATCTTTACCAGTGTATATTGGGTATACTGGGGTACACTGACAGAGGATGATTTTATTTCAGTCAAGGATAGCATGTTGGAGAAGGGAGCAACTGTTAAGCTATTTCACCCTAAGGATTTATAAATCAGTGGGGCTTCCTGTGAAATTGGGGGTTACCCTGGTGTGATTTTAGCTGCAGGCTGGCCGGACACCCATGCTGTGCTGGAAGCCTATTAGAGCAGTTTGATAATGATAGCAGCTCTAATATATCCCAGAGATTTAAAGGAAACCCATCTGTGTCAAAGAAATGATACAGTGCGATGAAGCAGGTGTTGGGATGTGAAGTCCTGGAAGATGGGAGGATTAATGAGCGCACACCAAAAGGTTTTTATAAAGAGATGAAGGAGATAACCCTTCTTGCTCCAGAACCAAGATAGAGACATACATTTCATCCTTCTTTCAGAGTTCTTAGCATACTGCACATGTACTACTAAAATGAAGAACTACTGAGATGTTAACATGAGTAGTAATACTTATTTATAAAAAAAAAACAATAACCACCACAAAAAAAATGACCTGGATTAGTTATATGACTCCACAATCCTTTTCTGAATAACCACTACAAAACTCCCACCTTAAAGTGGGGAATTCTGTGTGACGTTGACATCTCAGAACATCTGTAACCTCACTGACTCAGTGCAGCAATGGAAAAATCAATGGGAGGAGCTACTTCCACTCATTTAAATTCACTCTTGGAAAAGAGGTCAGGGGACTTGACCCCAGCACATGAGGCTGCTCAGGGGTCTGAATTCCATATGTCTGTGAACTCAAAACATGCACGAGATGAAGAGGTTGCTCTACTGCTACTTGCCAAGGAGACAAAGTTCAGTCTGGCACAGCAACACCACAAGCAGTTTCTCTCTGAGCCACTGTAAAATATAGACAGGTACAGCATAGCTTTGCAGAATAAAACCTGAAAATGGCTCTAATCTGCTGAAGAAATAAACACATGTTGCAGCAAAATGTCAAGTATGGCAGATCTGATGAAACCAGTGCCTCATTTATACTACAAGCTGTAATATGATAAGAAGGCATCATTGTTTTCCTTAAATCAAATTATGACTTTAGGCCTGGTACTCCTTTCTGTTATATTATCCTGAAAGGGAACAGCTTCACTAAAGTCTGTAAGCTCACGCTCACATGATGCTGGTGAGAGAGAACAACCAGGCTTTACAGACTTATGCTTGACAAGAATGAACCTTCTGAAAGACAAACATGAATACACACATGTACATACATACGCAGATGAACAGATGCACGTCACCCACCTATTTCATCCCCCAGAGAGGAGTTCAGTATTGCACCAGCAGACATAACTACGGCGCAGCTCCCAAAACCATGTGTATACAATTTGCCCAGTGGAATTTGGGGAACGTGCTTTTCCCATCCCAGAGTGGAGAAGGGAGCCTCCTTGCCATCTATTGTTTTCACATTCACCCTTTCTTTCAGCTCGCAGAATAGCTGGTCTCCTGTCAACTTGGAGTTTCGCTTCCCCTTGAACCGCACCCCATGCTTATTGGTGCTCAAATAATCTTTCATCGCCTTCTGCAGTCGAGGGTTTAGCATCTTGGAAGAGACATCCCCTTTCCAAAGCTTGTAGAGAAAGGATTTCGACATTGTGGGATATAGCCCATCCCAGTCATCAGATTCGTCAAGCAGCTGGCTTCTCCTGTGCTTTGTGCTCCTCCTCCTCATTCTTCTGTGATGGCTCCAGTTATTCTGTAAAATATTTACTTTTGGGTTATCCTCATCAGCTGAGACAAATTTTGCTATCTCTTGTAGGTGGTTGTGTGGCCGAGGCTGACCAGCAGCAAATAAATAATCATCATTGACTTGGTAGAAAGCACTTTTTGATTTTCTTCCTATCTGGGATGGAAAAAACTCATCTTCATTCCTAAAGGCATCTTCCAAATCAGTCCATTTCTTAATACTACCAGTCCCTGATTTAAATGTACCTAGGAGATCTTCATTAAGAAGTACCTCGTTCCCATCAATGGTTTCAGAGAATGATGGATCATGTATGGCTCCCATGATGACTCTCTGCTTGCCCTGAAGGGGCAGAAGCCTCTTAGTTTCAATGTAAGAAAAGGAACTGGGAACTGGTTCAGTAGTGTTGCTATCTGTAAAATAGATGAATATCACCAGAAAAAGCAGACCCCATGCAAAAATCCCAAACAGCATGAGTTGTTTCCATTGCTTCAAGTTAGGTTTCATGGCAATGCCTTTACAAGCTCCTCTGTGCCTTGAAGTATTGGTGAAGGAAAATGAAACCTGGAAAGAACATCAAATATTAATCAAGAATGGTTCTAAAAATAGACACAATTCAGAAATACCTTAAACCACTTTGATAGAAGGTGCAGAATTAATCTCCAAGCTGTAGCACGGAGGATTCAGAAGCAGAAACAAACTCCAGAGCCTGCAGACACTGTAGGAGTGACACGCTTTGGCTGTAACCACACAGTGACAGCTGCTAGCTACAAAAGAAGCTGGTGGCCAGTTTCTACAGTAACACTGGATCCTGCCTTCAGGGAGATCATGCGCCTGCCTGCTTCTGCTGTACAGAGTGTAGCATTAAGAGAGCAAAAGCAAAACCCATGCCTGGCTGTGTGCACAGTGGGGACATTATCAGCCGTCTTCTCTTTTGCCATTGCAAGTGGGACTGTGAGCAAGCCTGTCCCCAAAAGGGAACAGGCAGGGGGGCACAAACTCCCAGCCAGACAGCCCTCCTCTTCCCACAGCCCTGAAAAGGCAGTGCTCTGTGGATATCATAGAATCATAGAATGGTTTAGGTTGGAAAAGACCTTGAAGATCATAGAGTTCCAACCCCCCTGCCATGGGCAGGGACACCTGCCACTAGACCAGGTTGCCCAAGGCCACGTCCAGCCTGGTCTTGAACATATCATGGAGGGGGAACAGGGAAGAGCATCACACCGGCGGGTCAGAGGGGAGCCTTTTCCTCAGCTGGTATGAACTGGCACAGTGTCAGTGGGCCACATCAGACCCGAATAAGAGGGTGACTGCTGTATCTCCGCTGTGGATGCTGCACGCACACTGAGGTGGCGTAAAGGAGTTCTGCATGTTGAGGGCGTGAGAGGGTTTGCATTTTCCAAAAAAGGGATGGATGGCACAGCTAACTAAATGCATGCCTTCAGGGTAACGCTGGCGATTTACATAAAGGGGGTGGGTTGGTAATGTCGGACCTAGACTTGGAAATCTGTGCTCTACTAATACTTGGGGATTTTGGACAGCTTGTGCATTACTGGAGGGATGCGTGGGCCAAAAGGAAACAAAGTCTGACTGAGGGGGCTGTGTTCCAAGGAAAATACACTAACATGTTGCTGGACCATCATGCACACTACGCCCTTATGTGAACTCACTTGTGTAATAGAGCGGTGTGGGCATCACTGGCAAAGCCGGACGATGAAAGTCGAGCCCTCCCTTACCATAAGCCTTATCATTCACCTCCCTGGACCATAGTTATCATCAGCCTCAGTTGCTACACTGCAGTGTACCTCAGTGTACTACTTAGTGACAGATCGCTTACCTGATCTGGATTAAAAATAAGCCCCTTCTTCTGGAGTTTTGTTTCTAACCCCATTTGTTTCAATGACTGCTTAATGGTGGGACTTAAGAGCCACTTGTACCAGCCAGCTGTGATCAGAAAAGGGAAAAACAGAGCGGGGGCAGGCTTGGATTTCATTAGCAGCTTCTGCCTCAGGAGCCACCATCTCATCACACTGCATCTGAACAGCACTCACAGCTTACACATCTCTGACAACACAACACAACACTGCCTGCTGCTTACACCTGACCATCAGGAGGGACCAAAACCACGGTCACCATACGCTACCATCCTTCTGCAAGCTGCTGAAGTACATCAATGCTGAGTGCAAAGTTTAGACCCAAGCTGTAACTAAGGCTGTGTTTTCACATCGAAAAGAAACTGGCAATAACACTGGCATAAGGCATTCTCTCCACTCTGTCCCTCATTCCTACACGGTGCCTTTGCCGCCACCAACATCCTTGTGTGCTGATCTGGGATATTACAAACTGGACCAGTAAACTGATACAGCAGGCAGTTAGTGTGGGGAAATATAAGTTAGAGAGTTTCTTTGGTTTGGTTTGGTTTTTTTTTTTAACTGGGTCAGCCCTTTTATCCACTTCAGTGTGGTCACACATCCAGTTGTTTCAGCACAAACAAGGAGATTGCCCACCACAATGCAGAGGCGAGAACAAACCGCAGGTGGTATTAGCTGGGATACTTCAGGCTAGCATTTCTGCTGACCTCCTGGGAATGTGAGGCCACAGCATTACATTTCCAAACACAGTCTATTTTAATGATCTAGACAAAGCCTAGAACATTAAAAACAGCAAGCTGACTTTGGAACTCAAGGCAGTGCCCAAACACAGAGAGGATTCATGTCACACTTGGACGACCAAATTTCATTGCAAACACATTCCATTTCTAATACACTGAAAAAAAAAATAAATTCATGAGTGCGATAACCCCATGCACACATTTGGCTTGGCTCACACAAACCTCATGGAAAAAAAGCCGTGACTCCAACTGACCCATTTCCTACTTGCGCTCTGCTGCTGCTGCTGCTGCTGCTGAAAGACTGCTCTCTGCAGCACCTCCACGCTCCCCTGAAACCCCTTCCAATTTTAGATCACTACAGGCGATGATGTCCTGTGGGAGTCGACTTACTGTATATGACTGTTGTGCAACTTAGGTCTGCCCTGAAGTTATTGCAACCTGCCCGCTCATCAGCGTTCAGATGGTTTGCATTTTTAAATCAGCATTCTTCCCCCGCCTGAACTGCTTTCATCCCTTTTTATCATTTTCCCTGCTGTGTTTCCCCAGCACTTTTCAACACGTGGCTTCCAAACCACTGTGCAAGTTTGACTTTGCTCAGTCAGATGTTTCTCCTGCTGTTTTTTTTTTACAGGATCCGCAAAGGAAGCATCTTGCAGAATCTTTTTAACAGACAAGCTTGCAGGAAGTCAAGGCTTTAAAGGAAGAGGTCACTAATATTTTCCACTGAGTCACATAACAAGTCCAAACACAATTTAAACATAATCCATAACAAAATCTCACTTTTTTCTCATTTTTTTCCAAATTTTGTTTTATGTTATAACCAGAAGTTGATAAGAAATAGAAAGGGTTCAGCCTTAATTCAAGTGTGAGACTATGAAAGTTTCTAATTTTCTGTGATCACATGTGATTGGTGGAGCCAACTGCCCCAGCAGGAAGAATTAGTATGGACTCCTAAATTTGATATTCAGGTTACAATTTGAAAAAAAAGAATGAGTTACATTATTAATTATTTTTAAATCAAAGCGAATTAATTTTTTCCTCCCTAACACTAACAAGGTCATAACAGCACACTCATCTTGGTCGGTGTGTACATACGAGCATGCACACGATTACCTTTCTCAGGCAGCAAAAAAATTAACTGTGTAAAACAAAAAATCAGCACACAGCAGTATATTTTTCAACACTGCAAGCAAAAGGAGAGGCACCAGTGAGAATAAATCCGAAAACTTTACACATTAACTACTGCAGAAGCTTATCTACAATCCCTTGTTGCAAGTGGGGCCTCAAAAAGGATACTCAAATCTCTTGAAGACCGGAGCTATGCAGGCAAATCTCTGTGCTGCTTTAATGTTTTTTTTTTTTCCTCACAAGAAAAGCCTTGTCCTCCAGCAGTACAGCTGAGCTGGAAGCAAATTCAAGGTCATTACTGTATTAGTTGCAAGAAGACCCCTACAACCTCACAGGATCCTGAAGGCTGTGAGTGGAAAGCTGCAGTAAGGCCAGAGAAAGATCCATTATCTTATCTCCCTCTGCACTAAACATCCAGTCCTCTCCCCCTCAGCCCCTGCGGCTTCTCACATGCCACAGTCCCCGGCTCTGGGAATGAGAGGGCAGCCCCTTCACAGGGTTCCCACCCCTCTCATCCCCGCCACCCCCGTTGGCAGCAGACCCCTCCGCTACTCACGGGGGGGATCTCCCTCGGTACCAGCTGGGGATGTGCCTGGGCTCATGCCCTGTGTTCCTGAAGGAAGCACAACTCAATTGCAAAGAGAAAAACATTCGTGTAGGAAACCAGAAACGACGATCGTAATGAATTACACTGGCTAAATAAAGAAAAACAGGTGGTTTCACAGATGTAATTATTGAAGTCCACTGCATGCTTCAGGAAGAAACTTCGATCTCTCTCATCTATGCTCATCATACAGCTTTCAAGCTGTCAAAGCCATTCTACATGAATTTTAAAACTATCATTAACGTTGCTTATTGCCTCCAACTTCACCACCCCTGCTGTAATAATCCTCCCTACTTACAAGTGACGAGACCGCTGGAGTCACAGCTCCAGCCTAGGAGGACCAGAGGAATACATCTGCACCTGGGGAAAGCCCCCAAGCCTTAACCCAACCCAGGTTCCCGTTCAGCTGAAGCAATAAAGCTGTTTGCCCCACTAGCTGATGATCTCATTTTGCTGCATATCTCCTATCTGATGGGCTTTTTCAATCATTAACTGATTTAAGCTCCAAGTACCATATGGAGAGGGCCCTTCTTCTGAGCCAGCCAGGTTATTCGCATGAAAGCCATGGAAAACATGAGGTAAGGTACAAACCAGTGAAGTGGGCAGAAAGGTGAGACTTATTTGCTTAATAGAAGTATTAGCAGCAGCTATGAAAAAGAGAGGCAAACCCCAAGGGCATCTTTGAAGCATCCCAGGAAAAAAAGCTGATTCCCCAGTGGAAATTAAAGTCTGGTTTTCCAAAAGCGGCACCCATTTATGGGAAATTTCATTTTGCTACACTAAGATGCAAGAAACCAATGTGTTCCCCCTCTCCTTATATAGCCCATTGTTTTGCAACAAGGAGCACTTTTAATTTTTCTAAAGTAGGCCTCCTGACTATTTCTTAAATGAGAAGAGATGGATGAGGGAGATTTTTTCTTTTATTCCTTTGAAACATTCCTCCCTTTCAACACTGTCTATTGTTAAATTAATTTGTACGGACCCCGGCAGCTCAGAGGTCAGGATGGTTCAAGTTGATGTTCTAAGCTGTGCACTGTTATGTTAAACAGGGTTTTTCTTGGCTGCAGCTTTGCAGCGAGAAGGTCACCTCGGGGTTATTTGGGGTAGCAAATGTTAGCTGTGGGCAACCGTTCCCAAAGGGCTGGGAATCGGACCAGGGTTTAT